TTGATTGAGAATCAGTACCAGTATCAACATCTATTTTTATGCTCTGTACTGTGTCATGGATCGAAACTACAACGAAATTAAATAGTGACTGAGAGACAAGAACTGAATCAAAGGACAATTCAATTTTCCGTGGACATTGAAACTCGTCTACTTGAATATTTAGGAAATCCACAAACATCAGCAGTGTTCGCGGTCTTGTGCTTATTTGCTCCCTCAAAATAAATCAACTTTCCACGACACGTTATGCAGTGCGAAGCCCACAGAAAACCAGGAGAAAGCCAGTAAAACGTTTTCTTTCAAAAATCTACCTCGTTCAAATTATCTCGAAACGGTCAGATAGTTTGGAGAAATTATAGGAAAGACCACGAAGCCTGCTTCTGACGAATTTCTTAGACATTCATTTTTTTGTCTTCGATGTTCTGGAAATTCATATTTCCCAAGATAAGTAAGACTTGATACCTTTTATATGTCGCTTTTTACAATATGATATTCGTTGGAAAGAATATCGGGCGGCGATTATAATATAGTAAAAGATGTTGAATGGAGGTGGCAATGGAGATCGTCTCCTATATTCATCAACAAGCAAAAATCGTTGGTAACACCATAAAACATATGATTGCTGGGCAACACGTTGGATAGTCACGCTATAAATGAGAGATATCGAAGAATATATCATGAAAGAAAAAATCACTTTCATACTTGAACAAAGCTACAAGCACATTAAGTAGAAGAACATTAGCAATTGTAACAAAGATAATGGCCAGAACGAAGGCTACATTAGAATAGACGTCGGTACCAGCTAAAAGACGAGAAAAACTCATCTAAATAACTGCAAATCACTAGAATCTTACTGATTAGATCTACTTGTCCAAATATTTTCCAGACACCATAATTGATTACGTTTCGCAGTATTTCCCACGATTTTAGATTATTATCAGCACTGCTTGTAGTCACATAAGCTAGCTGTCCATCTCCAGTATAGGTCCAGTTGACTTGCGACGTAGTATTGATAAGTGACCAGGATGTGATGGAAAAGCCGAGTAGAAAGATGACAATGAAACACACAAAGAACAGTAAATCTTTCATCTAAAAACAATATGAACGTATGCAGTTAACAAAGGAAAAAAAATATAAACCGTTTTGAAGATCATTTCCAATTTCGGACCGAGTCGTTCGTAAGCGGCGAATAGATGAAGAATTCGAATATACCAAACGATTAGGTCAAGGCCCATGAAAATTCTGGAACAAAGAAAAATATCGAATTTTGAGAGTCGTTCTCTTTCAGTAAGAATTATAAATTACTTTGAAACAATGAATACTGCTTCAGAAACTATAAATCGCGTAATGAAACCGATAATATATAGGCCAATTGCTACAAGGGCAAGTATATTCCACAAGTCGGTAATGAAGTTGCCTTTGAGCGTCTTATGAACTACCTAAAACAGAAATGATACATCTGGAATATATGAACAAGAAATTATATGATTCATTTCTCACTTGATATGTCTCCTCACAAATCACACTCCACAAACATATATGAAGCATAATTTCTGGAATAGGCACGAGTAAATTGTAATAGCCTGATCGAGTTTCATGATAAATATTCAGCGGAAAGTAGTCGACAAGATAAACATAACTGAATAGGCCAAGAAATAAGATGAAAAATATCTTAAACAGACCAATCAAAATTGCATTTATTACTATCCTGGTCATTTTATTCAATACAATCCACGTACCGCATTGTAATAAAATCGAACGATGGGCGCTGCATAAAAGTAGCCTATCTTTTGGTACCATTGAACACTACGAATTTGAATTGGTTTATCAGGTCTTGACTTATTAAAGAGAAATCAACACAAGTATGATCGATATTCGACATTCTTACAACTCTGTTGAGACGGTGTTAGCATCAACATTTGTGCTTAACGAAGGCTGTACAGTTGTAGAAGACTGAAAATACGAAAACGAAATAAGAATATCAGAATGATAATATGAATTTTGATGTGAAGTACCGTGTTCAATTTTCTCACGTAGGGCAAGAAGACGGATCCGAATGGAAGAAGCGGAAGAAATAGTGTACAGAGAAAAATCTAAATAATAGAACTTCTTTACATTTTCCATAGGAAAAAGCACATTGAAATATTTACTCGAAAGTCGATCCACTCGAGTCGATGATTGATATGGCCAAACCTGTATATATAGTCTTATATTGAGATTTCGACATGGAAGAGTCTCAAAACACATAAGTTATGTTCATTATGAAGATTGTGACAAAGAAAGAACTCCGAAATTCATGTAACGTTTTTTTAAACAGAATAGTTTTTCCGTGTCAAATATGGAAGATCTTACCATAAGTTATCCAGATATCTTTGAACACATGGTGATGCCATAAATTTTCGACAATTAGCCTCGCGTGCACGTTTCAATGGATGGGCATTGTAAAAAGTCGCAATCGGACCCCTGAGAAGTTTAAGTGCAAACATTTTGTTATTGTCAAAGCAATGATCAATAATTGATCTTGCATAAGCATCAAAAGTCCTAAAAGAAATACCAATGTGAATTATTGATTGATTGCGAACGAGTTCACAAATTTTACTCGACTTGCGCATGGTATTTTTCTTTCAGTTCCGAATTTTGTGTGCTGCTTCTAGCTTTTTGATAGATCCAGGCAGCAATCAATGGAGCTATCAATGGATTCTAAAACCGATGAATGATGTAACAATTGGCGACGATCTTTCTCCACTAACAAGGAAAGGTTCCCAGGTGTTCATTCGCTTTTGAGTCGAGACTATGTGCATCATGTGGAACCCAATAACTTATTCATACCATAAAAATGTTCATCCCCCGTAGTTTTGTGCTGCGGAGATACAGGACTTTTACTGTATTTTTAGCAAAATTATGTGGTTCCTCTCAGGTCACGAAAAATTTGAATTTAGAACTTTGGCTTAAAACTTTACACGGGTTCAGGTCTCAATGAGAATAGTTTATGGTGAACGTGTCATCCTCTTTCGTTGATCCTATCCTGATGTATGAATATGGAAAGATTGATCCGCGTATACGAACAATACGTCATATCTCAGGATAGGAACAACGAAAAAGGTTGAAACTTTCACCGTAAACTACTCTCATTTTGATCTTTACCGGTGCAAAGTTTTAAGTCAAAATTTCAAATCCAAACTTTTTGTGACCTGAGCTGGGTCACCGGATTTTTCTAAAAAATACAGTAAAAGTCCTATATCTCCGCATCAGAAAGCTACAAGAGATGAACTTTTTTAGGATATGGATAACTCATTGGGCTTCACATGATGCACACAGTCTCGACTCAAAAGCAAATGAACACCTGGGAATGTTGCTTTGTAAGCCTCACCCATGTTTTTGAACAAAAATATGTAGCAAGATCGACTCGATCGAGAAAGATGGCCCAAATAAAGAGATCACGTGAACCATGTTCTCCTAATATAGTATTCTTGGTGCTTTGGTCTTTGTCAAGCTGCAACCAGAAAATGAACGTCAATAGGCATCAAAAAAATTCTTCATGAGATAACTGACTTCCGGTTCTTCGATTAAATACGTCTTGTAGAAATCTTTCCTTGTTGTGATTTCTCGTCGTTTTCTCTTGCTACATGGTAATCTTGATCCAATCTATAAAAAATATTTAAATTGGGATATAACAAATTCAACTGAGTTTAAATACTTAC